GCTGTATTGTGATAAAACCTATCTCTCATAAATAAGAAATTAAAAAGTTGTTGATAAAAGCATAAAAAATGAAGTCTTTCTAAACTTTATCTCTAATTATTCGTTAAGTTCTGTACACAGAATTTAATTTGGTTAAAGTTGATTGTATTTCTAAAGGAATAATTTGTTATGTAACGTCTTAAAAATACTGACGGATTGGCCCTCAGTTGGACCGAGTTTTGGGTTTCGGCCCCCTCAACGTAAGCAGTACCTGAGCTCTGGTGGCCATCTTGGCTCAGGTTGACTTTTTGTAAACACGACAAACACAAACAAAACCATCATAGCCCTTCGGTGGCAGGTGGAAGACTGATGATTTGAGCTTGTTTAGCAGCTGCAGGACCTGTTCAGTCAGCCAGGAGCCAACATCTGTCTGACAGCTGGTTCCCACCCCGCAGCAGGTCAGAACCGTACAGCTGAACCAGAGAAAACRTTGACAGGACTCTCAGCCTAAACAAACATTTCATCTGAACTCATAAATGTACCCAGCAGCTAATCCTGCTCCTCATAATAACCAGGAGAAATGACAGTCTATGTTTTTATTGCCTGTAAAACTGATTAAACCAGTTCTGTTTAAAAACATTCTGCTTCACTGCATKTCAGGTTGCAGACCAAGTCCAGAGTCCAGATCAGACCGGAACCTTTCTCTTACCTTCTTTTTGAGGGCTTCCAGTGATTCATAGTCGAGGCGGGCCAGTTGGATCTGGATCTGTTTGGGGATGTCTGGGATGAGGAAACTCAAGATGAACTTAAACGCCAGCAGTCCGTGCTGAAACCAGACATGAAGCAGAGTTTGAAACATGTTGTTTTATTCATTTACTGTTRAGTGTCAACTTTTTATGACTTCCTTCCTCATTTCTGTAAAAACCACAGGTCACATTTATAAAGCTCTGTTTTAAGCTTAACTAAACCCCTGACCTGTCTGGTGTGGTCCTTGGTCTTCATGATGCTGTTTGATTATGCACTACTTTGTGACGATCCATTAAAGAAGTCTCAGTAAAAAAAAAATGCAAGTTTGTTATTGGAACAAGACAAATCCAATCATCAGAGAACATGTTCCCAAGAAATCCACAACACATTCAGTCATATAGATGCTACACACACAGTTCACAACTAACCCGAGTTGTCTGGCCTCCTCAGAGTAGTAAGACGTAAATGGCGAAGATACAGATCCCAACCAAGTAAAACCAGGTGGGAGCAGTATGTACAGTCCCACAATCACTATAAATGTTTTAAAGAAGATTGAGAGACTTTCTTGGACAAAGTTTTGTGAAGATGTTAAAAGACCTAGTGCCTCTTCTAAGCTTTACAAACTTCTCAGAAAGGATCCAGTCAACCGTATATCCATTATTCCACTGGAAGGATTGGCAGTCACACAGACAAGTGTGCTTCAGCATCTCCTCCAGGCACACTTTCCTGGGACYGAAGAGACTGAACAGCCTGACACAGTTGCTAACTCAAATCCAACAGAGGACGACTGGAACAGAGCTGCATTATTACTAAAGGCAAAGTAAAATGGGCAATTAAWATGTTTGACCCATTCAAAGCTTGTGGTCCAGAAGGGATATTRCCCAGCTCTTCTCCAAAGAGGACTGGAATTGACTCTGGACGCAGTTACTAGAATATACAGTATGTTGCTTGTCTAGCAAACYGTTATGTACCAGTTGGGTGGAGGACAGCAAAGGTTGTCTTTCTGCCCAAACCTGGCAAGTCAACATACAGAAAAGCACAATCTTTCGAAGCGGGTGACTTTAAGCACACTGGTTGGAGTCCTAACTGGGCACAATCTGCTCAACCACCAAAAAATGATGATGGGTCTCAATGACAATAGGGTCCAAATGTATGATGCCTGTGGCAACTCTTTGCACTARTTATGCCACTGCCTGGGTTCTTTATCCATCCCCACTCACCACATCTACACACAACAAAGTAACACACAGGTCCAGTAAGTTCACACAAACGATACAAACTAGAAAATGTCTGAAACAATGTTAAAGTCGCCCACAATTATAACATAACTGTAATAATCTAGGCTTAGAAAAAAAACATTTGTAAAGAGAACCACAATCAAAAGAAATGTTAAAGATCATAATACCCGAGTGTCACCACAACAACCACACACCTGRGGCTCTCTCTACAGCTGCCACACTTAATGGGAGGCAGACAAAAGAAAGCCTCAAACAAACAGCTGCTGTGCAACAAAACTATGGGTCTAATCTAAGAAACTGTTGAGCAACAGGAAGCTGAAGACTCTGATGGTCTTTCAGGTAGTTTTGTTATTTRTACTGTGTTTTACGAAGCAGATATAAGTTCACTTCCACCTTAAACAGGTCCAACGTTCTGTGGCGTGTTTAAACMTCACATCCTGATCCTCCATGTTTTGCTGAATAATTTCAAAGCTGCACAACCAGATCTTTAGCCAGAAGTGAGTTTATCATGCTTCAATGTTGATCTCATGCACACATTCACTGACAGTCTGCAGGTCTGCCAGCTGCTACCAGCTCCTTTCATTCAGTTTGTTTCCTCATCACACAGTTTTCAGTAACTGCAGCGGAAACATGTTAACAAACTAAGTTTACTTTTCTAACATAACTGATCACATTTATCTGTAAGATTTTCTCTTCAATAAAACCTTCAAACTACAGTATTTACCAGCAGCAACATTGAAACCAGCTTTGGTGTTGCATTTAAAAGATTCTGAGACATCAGAGGAACAAATGAAGAGAATTGAAAAGGTCCAATTTCCCCCCATTCTGTTAATGAACTTAGATTTTTACGCTGAGGCAACYTCTCTACAAAAACAGCAGCAGATTCAGTCGTTCCTGTCAGTTAATCAGCAAGCACAACGAGCTAAGAAAGCCCTGATCTTGGTGACTTGTCACACTGATTGGAAGTGCTCAATAAARACTCCAGCTTTTAGCTGATTGCTATTCATGTCTTTTTTTCCTGAGTGTTTCGAGGCAAGGTTAGCCTGCAGAGAGAAGATGCTCAGTGGAAAACCATAAATTCTGTTTGACCTGACAAAATGGATGTGATCAAACTGCAGATGCTATTTTCACTGCAGCTCTGAGTAAATTAAAATGGCAGAGGAARTGGACCTGACCAAGCTCCTTCACTTTCTGCAGATTGATGCCATTTTTGCTGCATTGGCTCAGACCTCCTCCAGAGGAAACTAAAGTCTCTGCTTGGATTTTTTAGWATCATTTTAAATATCTGACCAGTCTGTTAAACAAATGTGAAWTTAGACTTTTGCTTCTCAATCTCTCAGCATATATTTTTAATTCCATCATCATCATTYGATGTAAAATAAAAGCTGTAGGGGCTAACAACTTCGACCCCCCCAGCAATCTGCAGAGCCATGACCGCTACCATCTGACTCACACTGACACAGGTGGAGGGGAGGTAGCATCATGGCCCCGGCAGCCAAAGCTCAACTAGGCAGCACTCACTGATGAGTTCCTCTGCCTCCTGTCTTTATTTTCCTTTTCCAAGCAAGGTTTTTCATGTGGTTGTCCTCCATCTTCAAGGTCTTTGAATTGCTCTTCCTGAGGTTAGTTAGCCTCAGGGGTCCCTACATGTTGCTGAATCCCCAGACAACARAGACTGTGTCCAAATTCAGGGSCMGTGTCCTTCGAAGGACCCGGCCTACCCGGCCTAGATGAGCCAGGTCCTTTGTCGACCACAAAGACAGGAAGAAAGTGGCTGTGAATTTYGACGGTCTAGCTTTATTCCCGCCCTTACCCTGGCTTACCTGACGCCTATCAACCATGACAACACTAAATAGAAGCAATGGCCGTTTCTGAATTTTATTCAAAAATACGAGGCAGTTAGCAAAATATTATTACATTAATATTATTAATACAAACTAACAAAATTAGCTCAAAGGCAGTACAGGAAAACTAAGGGACCTGCCATATGAGCTTGTTTACAGAGATTTCTGACAAGATCATTATTAAAATATCTCTATGCAAATGACAAAAACCTAACAACACAACCACTTTAAACATTACATTTTTACACCACCAGATTTTTATTTAAAACTGTACTCTTGTCTCACTTCATCCGCCATTACAAGCAAAAACAGTCTCCTGGTCATCCTGTGATGCATCTTGGGATAGGGTGGGCTGAGAATAGGGCTGCCACAAACGTTTATTTTTATAGTCGATTAATCACAATTATTTTTTTCGATTAGTCGACTAATTGGATCACACGTTAATTGAATATAAAACATACAGCTTATCACGTCAGAATGCAGCTGCTATTATATAACCATGGTTAGATTTTAGCTATATGCTAACTAAAATTAATTGCTGTGGAAGGTAAGTTCTGCTCTGCAGATATTGTACAGGTTTCTCTTTCATTTTCTTAAAATGATCCCACACTTTTGAGCTCTGTTGTCAGGTAGCCATGATACCAGAGCCTGTCTGTATAATGTCTTGTGACGTCCACGGCCTACCCCAGTTACCACTACTGTGCATGTGTGTCAAGGACAGAAAGGCAGATGCAGCAGTGGAAGGTGTCAAAGCAGTTTGGAGAGAAAAACAAAGTAAAACAAAAAATAAAATAAAAAACCCATAAAAAACCCCAACTAATCGATTATTAAATTAGTCGTCGACTAATCGTGGCAGCCCTAGCTGAGATTAACACGCTGGATCCGTCCCTCTAATCGATGATAAATGAGGARGCATTTGTCTTCTGCAACTGGAAGAGCTTTTGAATGTGGAAAACCTTCAGCAAGTCACTGTGACATCATCAGCCTTAGAAGGATGCAACCCCTGAAATTATTTCCTGGATCAAGATGTTGTTGTTCATTTGTTGTGCCGAACAGGCAAAAAAAAAAACAAATAATTGTGTTTGTGTTATGGAGAAGCTGTTCCTGCAGTTTTTTTTCTTGTTTAACCTTCAAGCTATCAGATCAGAAAAGAGGCTCAGCAGTAGGTCTGTTTTCCAGCAGGTCGTCCTCATATAGTCATGAAACTGAGAGCACTAAAGCTTTAATATACCAGTAAATAACACTGGAGGGAATTTGTATTTGAAGAGACAGTTCATGTAAGGTCAAATTTTTTTTTTAAAAACAAAGAGCTGTGTTGCACGTAACAGCACAATGACCACGTGTTAGCTTGACCTTTAGCTCTGCAAAACACAAACTACTCATTTTTAAGCTTTTGTGATAAAGGGTCAAATGAAAACTACCTGAGTGTACTCGCTCTAGTTTTCAGGTCTCACACTGTCAGACCCAGGACTCCAACATAAAGTGTGTGTTTGCTTCTGTGGCAGGCCGGCTGGTTGCCTGGTTACTGGTCACTGATGTGAGGAAGCTCTATAGTAATTATCCAGGCAGGTATCATAGCACTGCAGCTGGAACTCTCCTCTAACACYCTTTCCTGCTCCTAACACACAAAAACAACAAAGAAGGAGTTCAGACTTCCGGTTTTCATCCTCAGCTGTTTGGATCTGGAATCTGACGTCAGCTGAAAACTTGAGCATCCTTTCTCTACAGCATGAGTCTGGACTGGTGGTTCTGAAGTAATTCATTAAAATCCATCCWCTGGTTCATGAGATATTATGCTGACAGACAGACACAATTAATGTCAAAGTTAAAATAAAAATGGTGCTGAATGTGTAGAGCCTAAACCAGCTGTTATAGATATTTTTAGACTGACGTTAAAAGGTCGGACGCACACCCAGTAATTATTTCTGAAAGTTTCCTTAAATCTGTCCAGTCGTTTATGAATTATTTTGCTAACAGACAGATATGTGAACACATACAGGCAGAAGCACAAACATTATTGACTTTTCAGCTTTCAGGCAGAGTAAAACATTCAGAGACAATAAATAACCAACATGTCGCTCAACCTTGGAATGTTTTTCAGCTTTAAAGCCTCTCTGTTCAGTTTTATAAAACGACGCTAACACGCAGAAACGTGCTCAGATGTACAATCAGCTTCACTTTTCCTCTCAGTTCCTCCTTCAGCTTCAGTTTATCAGCCCTACATCACTGCAGTCTCTGAATTCATCTCATCCTTCCACCACAGCACACCACCGCAATGTGATTAGAACCCTGCTGTGCAGAAAGTGATGGTTTAACTGGTTTATTACTATTACAAACAACTGAAACCAGATGTTTGCTGTGTACCAGTGCTGTAGTACTTGAGTACARGTTTTCGTGTGGCTCCAAATAAGTTGTAGATGTCCAACAGTACTTCCTGATAGTTTCATTTAAATTGATCCAGCAGCTCATAAGATTATTTTACTAACACAATAGATCAATGAACACAATGTTGACACAGAAAGAGATAAAACTACACTGTGTGGCCAAAAAAAGTCACACACTCTAATATTTGGTTYGACTACTTTTAGGTTTGATTACAGCACTCATTCACTGTYGCATTGTTTCAATAAGCTTCTGCAACGTCACAAGATTTATTTCCYTCCAGTGTTGCGTTAATTTTTCACCAAGGTCTTGCACTGATGTTGGTAGAGTCTGATCTTCTCCAGAACATRCAAAAGATTCTCAGTGGACTCTGTGGAGCCGATCCATGTGTGGAAATGATGTCTCATGCTCCCTGAACCACTCTTTCACAATAAGAGCCCCATGAATCCTGGCTTTGTCATCTTGGAATATGGCCGTGCCATCAGGGAAGAAACAATCCATTGATGGAARAACCTGGTCATTCAGTATATTCAGGTCATCTGACCTCATTCTTTGAGCACAAACTGTTGCTGAACCAAGACCTGACCACCTGCAGCAGCCCCACATCATAGATAAATCCAGGTGGACACCTTTTTTTGGCCAGACAGTGTATTATCATCCTTTTGGCTTCTGCAGCAGAAAACAAAACAAAAAGCACAAAATCTCCCAGGAAAATAAAAAATATCTGAAAGTGATCAGACAGTAAAKGTACATGTTTAGTGTACACTGACTGATGCAGTCTTTACCCTCCACCTATCGGACCTGACTACATGACAGTGATCCAGGTTTAAATGTGAGTCTGTCACATTAAAGACACATCTGCTGCTCTGAGCCTGCAGCTTGTGAGGAAGAGGAGGCTCATTACCAAACAGATGAGATTTAAATCCAACACAAAATTATCCTCAAAGCTTCCAAACAGCTCTGTGTGCAGATCTCATGTTCAATAAGTCAGACAGATTCTGCCCTGGGATCATTTCTACAGCCTGACCCTGACCCCTCACCCTAAACCTAAGCTCACAGGTACATACCTGACCCTAAACCAAACCCCTGACCCACCAACGGCATATCTCCCAATGGGTGCTGGACTTTTGTCCCCATAAGGAACAGAGGGTCCTCACCCGGGAAAATGTTCAAAGATCGTCCCAACCAGGTAAGAAAAACATGTCCACTCTCTCACACACAAACACACACACAAACACACACACATACCTACTACTGTATGTCTATCTTGTGGGGACTTTCCATTTGACTTCTTTGGAAATTTTATCACTTAACCCTGACCATTTACCCTAAAACTAACCTAAACTCAATTCACACCTTGGTCCTAAACCTACAACCCCCCACCCCCATCCAAAATCTGTCTCCGAAGTCATGGGGACAAGGAGCACAAGGAGCATCCACTCCCCACGAGGCTGCATTTTCCTGAAAAATCGTCCCCACCACGTATCAAGAACAAGGCCACACACACACACACTCTCTCTCTCTCTCTCTCTCT